CCCCGCCCCCCCCGCCGCACCCCCCACCCACCCACCAACCATCGCCACCGTCAACCCCAAACCGACCCGAACCCCGACCACGGTGATACGCGCAGGCGTCACGACACGCCAGTATTGAACCGGTGCGCGACGGGTGGTGCGCGACGGCCCACCGAAAATCTCATTAATTGGGCCCCGCGCAGCTGCCTGCTGCTCCCGACCTGCGGCCCGGTAATGGCTCGTGGCGTGCGCCGGAGCGATAAACCGCGGCCGCGGGTTCCCCGGATGTATCGCTCGTGTGCCGAGCTAATTTTCCCGAGCCGAGATCGGCTCGGTGATTGATGTCCGCCACGAAGTCCCGGTCGCTCGGTATCGAGGGCTGCCCTTTTCATCGGCGCCTTGGCTACAAAATTTTAATTTGGCCGGCAACGCGCCTCGCACGACCCATCCTCCTCTTCACTTCCGCCACCACTACCACTACCAACACCACCACCACCACCGCCGCCACCACCATCACCACCGCTTCCCACCCCCCTCGACGTTTCCACACAACTCACCCTCCCGTCTCTCTGCGTTTCGTGCCATTTCGCTTACACGTGTTTCCCAACCAGACTGCCGTTTCGTATTGGCCAATGTAACGCGGCCGCATGATTAATGGCTTAATTATTGTCACCATTTAACTTACTCTCTAATATCGTTTTGGTGGGCAGCGCCCGCCACGCTGCCATAAAACACGTCCTCCTTATGGCTCCTTTTATTTTCCGCTCGCTCATTAGTGAGAGGACATACTTTAATAACAGCCAATATTTAAATGATTAAAGATTGCTATCGTTTCTCTAGCGTTAAAGCTAGTCCACTACCGAATGACAATGCGACTCAAGGAAACGCAATCTCTGTATTGTATCATTATTGTTGTTGTTGTTGTTGCTGTTGTTGTCGTTATCATTATGGTGAGTCTACGAAGCTTGTACGGTGATTTTTGAGCTCAAGTTTCGATTATTGGTAGCGAAAATTTGAGTGTCGCGGCCGATTCATTTCCTTTCGGACTCTTTATACGCACGAATTATGCAGAACAAATAAATATGTCAATTGTGCGAGAACGAGATTGAAAATCGCTATGTTCAATTTCAATTGCGCTGTGCGCTAAATAAAAAATGTGTCATAATGATGTGATAAAAAGTATAAATTCAACATAATTGAACCGAAGCCTTTATAAAATTTACGATGATAATTAATCAATGATTTTATTCAATTTTAGCGATTGAATGGTGGCTGGATAAAAATTAAAATACAATAGAGCACTCAATGTAATTATTCCTCGTTTCATTCGATATTCAGCATTTAGCTTAAAAAATTAATGCTTCAATTGTAATTCGAGCCAAAAATCGTAAACAAAAAAAACAAAAAAGATCTCTTTATCCATTTGATTATATTGTTGTTGTTGTTGTTGTTGTTGTTGTTGTTGTTGTTGCTGTTGCTGCCGTCGTTGTTGTAGCTACTTGTTGTCACCCTCGTCGTAGTCATCGTCGTTGTCGTTACTATTATTATTTTTGTTATCGCATTCGTTGTTCCTATTATTATATGTTGCAATTGCTTATATTATGTTAATAATAATATAGTTAATAATAAGATTTTTTCCCCCCAAGCATGTAACTGTGGCAATAATTCGCGTTGTGTATTTTAACGGACTAATGGTATTGCGTAGGAGAGAGCGCCCGAAATTTAAAATTATTAACAAAGTCTTATTTAGCTTTGTTGAAGGTAAATTGGCGTTTATCGCGCAATCGACATATTAGGCGAGCGATATTGTTATAATGAAAATCATAACGAAATGTCTCCTTGGAAAAAGGAAAGGTATACGCCGATTGGCATTAATTTATTCCAGCCGTCCCACGTCATTCGCAACCAGGATCAAATAAGTATTATTTCATCCAAAAATCCAGATACAGGGAGCGAAATTATTCACTTGGTATCGTCAACGTATAAGGCAAGCCGCCAAATTACTGTCTTCCTCTATCAAGATTGAACACCCAAACAACGAATATGCAAATTACTCCCGTTCCGTTCCCATACGCGACAATATACACGCGACTTTAAGAGCGACGTTTGTATCGGCGACACAATTATGCAAAGTCTTTACATAACACGCGCATAATTTTCGGTCTCTCTTTATTTTTCGCTCTCGCTAGACGTGTCGTCACGCGCATACGCATACTCGTCTGCATTCGTGTATGTACATTGACGATCGTTACGAGCTTCGCTACATAAAAGTACGTCTTCCTTCAAGAATTTACAAGGTGAAAATCACGATTCATTCACGGCTGATTCAGTTTCCTTTATGCGCACTTTAATCCCAATCCCAATGAAAACTTTAAAGAATATAAAAAGGCTAATACTCGGACATTGGCATTACTTTTTAATAATTTAGATTAAAACGTTTTTTAGCCGCTGCGCCACACAAATAAATACACACGCACTCACACTGAGAGAGAGAGAGAGAGAGAGAGAGAGAGAGAGAGAGGAGAGAGAGAGAGAGTGAGAGAGAGAGAGAGAGAGATAATGAAAAACTCGATATTTCACTTTATATTTTATTACCCAAGTATAAAGAAAAATAAGGTATATAAGATAAAAGGGCGCTATAGCGACGTACAAAGCGTATAATTATTATGCGACATTATGCGGGACAAGAAAATTGTAAATAGTAATCGAGCAATCTAGAGTCGAGTAAATGACTTCGGATCCATCGCGTCCTATTTGTCAGGGCGATCTCTCAAGCTCGGAAGTCGACTCTACGCGTTCGCGAAATAAAATGAAAAGCTACCGGTTTTGAAACGACTGAAGGACCTTATGCCAAGCATCCTTCCATTAGGGAACAACACACACACACACACACACACACACACACACACACACACACACACACACACACACACACACACATATATATATATATATATATACACACACACATATATACGCGGTCCGCTGAAGGAAATAATGCGCAGAGCCTCGTCGCAGGGACGCAGTGTCGCGACATTAATAATACCCAAGTGATTAGCCGTGAGTGGCTAGACCGATCGATTGATCGATCGATACGTCGATGAGAACAGTGGAGATCGTCGAGCGGATAAAGATTTGAGTGTCGCGTGAACGACCTCGGCAATACCAAAATTAGTATATAATTATTAAATGCCTTATGCAGCAGTTGGTTGTCGAGCAATTAATATATCTCCTCGGAACAAGGCTTAACTTCTCGCGTGACCTTCCCATTGCGCTCGCGTGTGCATGCACAGCACGCGCACTCGTCATAAATATTCCATGCGCAGAGGTAGAGAGATAGACAGAGAGATAGAGAGAGAGAGAGAGAGAGAGAGAGAGAGAGAGAGAGAGAGAGATGAAAGAAAATTATTACGCTTCATCGCCCCGCACTCCGTGAGAGAATGTGAGCGATGATCGATGCAGCGCTTTACAGCCGTTAATCTCTCGTACTGTTTCACGGTGTTCTCTCTCTCTCTCTCTCTCTCTCTCTCTCTCTCTCTCTCTCTCTCTCTGCGCACAGTCGCTCGGGCGCAATGTAGTTCGGAAAAGAGCAGCGGGTCGCCGCATACGCGTGAAAAATTAAAAGGAGCGCAAGAGGTTTACAATTGGCGATGACGCGGTCGCCTCGGTATCCGTTTTCCGCTCTAATCCCGTACGGAAATACGAGCGTACAGACTGCGACGGTCGGCACACGCGCCTTAGGCTTATCTACAATCGGCTGATTTCCATTAAAAAGGTCTTGGCAGTCGAAGAAGGTGGGACGACGAACGACTTCGTGCAGCGCCGTCCGCGCATCCTCAGCCCATGCATCCGGATCACCTAAATACCTAAGAGATGGTAGCAGCGTACGAACGTCTTGTTGAACGCAATGATAATCGTCGACAGGAGATCCTTAATGCGCGGATGAGGGAAAGATGTTGATGGATGATGTCGGTGATAGTGGTAATAGTGGTGGTAGTGACGGTAGTGACGGTAGTGGCGATAGTGGCGATAGTGGCGGTAGTGGCGGTAGTGGCGGTAGCGACGGCGACGGTGACGGCGACGGCGACGGCGACGGCGACGGCAGCGGCAGCGGCAGCGGCAAAGTCAGCAACAGCGCGACGCGAGAAGCAGCTCGGCTGACTTTCTCTAACGAGATCGCGAGAAGCGAGAGATTCGTTATTGGGCAAGCGGCTTCTCCGTAGGTACGCGCTCGTAGCTGGGGCCTAGCGCGCCACTCGCTCCCGCATCGGCTTGCCTATTTTCGGAAGTTAACCTTGACGCGCGCACTTGATTCGCTTGCGATCGATTCGATTTGCGAGGGGCGGCCTCGCCTTGGGGGACATCATCCTACTACGCGCAGCCAGGACATGGCCGTCTCCATCAATGAGATCTGCGAGAACACGAAGCTGGCAAGGGAGATGGCACTGACTGGCAACTACGACACTTCGGGCGTTTATTATCAGGGCGTCGTGCAGCAGATCCACAGGCTCCTCTCGAGCATCGTCGACGGCACGAGGAAGGCCAAGTGGCAGCAGGTGCAGCACCAGATCGTGCAGGAGTTCGAGAAAGTTAAGGCGACCTCGAGCACGCTCCAGCTATTCAAAGTCGATACACACAGCGAGAGACTGATAGGTTGGTTAGGCAAGACTTTAACGTCCCCGCGTAATGAGCAGCGGCTCATCTATTTTCGACTTTATGACCCAGTAACGAACGAGTAAATAAGTTATTATTATTATTTATTTATTCATTTATTTATTTATTTATTTATTATTATTATTATTACTATTATTATTAATGGTCGGGCTGGCATTTTGCAATATAAGATCGTTGCGTTGGATCGAGCCTCTGGCCCGTGCCCGAACCTCCATCTTAATCTTAATCTTGGCAGACGAGTGGAAAGCACACGCGCTTGTCGTCGTCACGTCCCATTTGTTTCGCGATGTGTGTTGTAGTAGGCACGACGTAAGAGGCCGCCAAGTAGTGGAACGTCGCGCGACGTATCCGTAGAGTTCCCTCCGCTGACACCTCTTTTATGGAAAATCGTTGTAGCGAAGGCCCCATTAATAACGTCAGACGCGTAACTTTGTCGAACAATGTTTTCAAGGGACGTCGTGTTTACCGTACGAAGAGCCAGCGCGGGATTCCGCATTGTGGTCGTGCGGCAGCTCTGGGAATTGGGTGCCAACGTTACCTCGAGATCCAGATGTGTGGCCGCCGTTATCACCGACCGAGCAAAAGTAAATTATAATCGCGCAAAATTCGCCAACGAATTCATTCAAAGCCCATTGTATTGAATAAGCGCAACTGTTGTCGTCCATAGGAATTCGAAGCTTCAGCCGAGGAGTCAGCAGAAGCCAGCGAGTCGATCGAATATTCGTAAGCCAAGTGTGAGCTCTGCTAAGAAGACGGATGTGAAGCCGATGTTTCGCAACAATCAGCGTAGCAATGGCAACGACGATAAGAAAACTCCTACTCCGAATAATGCCAAGAAGGATGATGTAAATAAGGTATGGTTGTCACGTTGCATCCCAATGCGATTCTAGTAATAGACTAGGATCGAGCAATTTTTTTCTTTTTCTTTTTTTTTTTTTGTTTGTTTTGTTTTTAAGGAGAAGGTCGAATCTGAGAAAACAGACGTGGAGGTGGAGGAGAGGAAGTTCGAGTCTTCGGGTGCCGATAGAGATCTTGTAGACACGCTGGGTATGTTGTATGGATCTTTTGTGTCAAATTTGACGAGTGGTTTGCCATAATTGTATGTCGCATTGCATTTTCAGAGCGTGACATTGTACAGAAAAATATTGATATACATTGGGATGATATAGCTGATCTACACGATGCTAAAAGACTGTTGGAAGAAGTGGTCGTACTACCGACGTTAATGCCAGATTTTTTCAAAGCAAGTTTTTATACTAATTCGATAAATCTTGTTCTCCGTTCTTCCAATTAACTCTGCCAAAGTCAAATTTTTAATTTAAACGATACTTTTGTCTAGGGAATCCGCAGACCCTGGAAAGGTGTTCTTATGGTGGGACCACCAGGTACGGGAAAGACTATGCTTGCTAAAGCAGTGGCGACGGAATGCAGTACGACCTTCTTTAATGTATCCTCGTCTACGTTGACATCCAAATATAGGGGAGAATCTGAAAAGCTCGTTCGCCTATTATTCGAAATGGTAGGTCAATGTTTTCCAATAATATTTACTTTAAAAACTAACTATATGTTTGGCCCTGTTTTGTCATATCAGCCTGACGATTGTGTTTTTCCTTCTAGGCAAGATTTTATGCACCCAGTACTATATTTATTGACGAAATCGATTCATTATGCTCGAGACGAGGCTCTGAATCTGAACACGAAGCATCAAGGAGGGTCAAATCTGAGTTACTCGTTCAGATGGACGGTATAAGTTCTAATAACGAAGATCCTACTAAAATAGTCATGGTCTTAGCGGCTACCAATTTTCCCTGGGATATCGACGAAGCCTTGAGGAGAAGATTGGAAAAGCGAATATACATACCATTACCAAATCGTAAGTGCCGCACTCTTCTAATTAAATCATTAATACGCGTAGCTGACGTTATTAGCTATCCAGCCACCAACTCATCGTCAACGATGTTTGTTCATTTTTATAGATGCGGGAAGAGAAGCATTATTAAAAATTAATCTTCGAGAAGTTAAAGTTGATAAGTCGGTTAATCTTAGTGAAATAGCAGAGAAACTAGAAGGTTATTCGGGAGCAGATATTACAAACGTGTGCAGGTGTGTAGATACTAATAAATGAAAGATTTACGAAATTTTGATCGTTGGCTAATGTGAGGCTGATTTTTCAGAGATGCATCGATGATGTCTATGCGGAGGAAAATTGCTGGCTTAAGGCCAGATCAAATAAGACAATTGCCAAAGGAAGAATTGGACTTGCCAGTATCATCGACAGACTTTGACGAAGCAGTCGAAAGATGTAACAAAAGTGTATCGCAGGAAGATCTCGAAAAATATGAAAAATGGATGAGTGAATTCGGTTCATCTTGATACAGTAGTTCTCGCACATAAAGTTTAAATTCACAAATGTATTTTTTTACCAAAGGCAAAGTCAGCCTCTTAAATATTGTGTGAAAAAGAAAAAACCAAATTAATCCAAATATATATATATATTATTAACTAAAAATAAAATTTTTAATGTAAAATATGACTGTCATTGGGACCAATAACTTTGCAATAATCGATGTGAGGGATCCTTATATTATATTATATTTTCTTTTGTCATTACCAAAGCACGTTAATTTCAAACAAACATATAACAATAATAATTTTACCTGCTTTCTTGTACTTAAATGTATCCCTTGCATAGGTTGCATCCAAGTTTTCTGTCCCAAAGGGTAGAATTTAAATACGCACAATTTTTATTAAATATGTTACATTTTTAATCGTTTTATCTGTTAGTGTAAAAATTATAAATATAAATGTTTATTTACATATTTTTGAATAATAAAATACCAACATGTTGAGATAGAAAATTATTTACACCGCTTCTTATATTATTCATACAATTAATTAGATTTTTGGTGCACATCCTTCTAGCCTTAATTGTTTTGTTTCATTATCGATATGCTTTGAAATTTTTGGAGCTTTATAGTCTTTAACATGATCGACTCTAATGGTTCTACCTAAAATCTAATTATCGAGTTAAGCTTATACTTATAATATTAAAATTCTCTTTATACATTATTAAAACTAATATGCATGTATGTATGTATACCTTAATGCCATTTAAATTATCCACCGCAAGAATTGTACTACGTTGATCTTCGTAACATAAAAAGCCATATCCCTTCTGTTTCCCTGTATCCTTGTCTCTAACTAAATTAATATTGACTACTTCTCCATATCTAAAACAAAAGAAAGAAAATATGTCATACAATATTATAAAAAATTACTCTAATGAATAATTGTTCAAGTTTTTGTTACTGTGAAAATATTGCAATGACATCGCCTTCTGTCAAGTCATACGGTAAACCACCTATGAAAATCCAAGCACTTTCTTTATAATCATCGTGCCACGACGATTTTTTATCAGAACCTAGTTCCTGTTGGCCTAATTTAGCGATATTCTTAACATTTCTACATTATAATACAAATATGAAAAAATAAATAAACTAATATTCGTAAAAGTCAAAACAATAAAAAAAAAAAACTAATTTTCAATATACTATACTACTTACGTCATAGGATTCATGATTATATTTATGAACTGGATTCGATTATACAAACATAAAACAAAATCAACCTGACATTTATTATTTGCGTAGATATTATTGTTTAATTCATCGAGGTTACATTTACTTAGCAACGCTATGCCTTATATGACTACCATACTCAATATGTCTATACATAATAATTCTTTATGAAGTAAAAATTTTAAATGCTCATATTAATAAACTTTTGAAAATTTTCCTTCCAATTTGAAACTCATCCGCTTCTATTATTTTACACTTTTAAACATTTTATACCATTTATGCGAAAATCATACCAACTGAAGATTATGCGCTTTGGCGCCTAATTCTTTTTTGCTGCCAAACAATATTAATATAATATATAATTTAATTAACTATAATTAATTTACGATTTATAAATTAAATATTTCAATTTTAACGAGTAAAGATAAATATTTACATATCTAAATGTTTATCACTCGTAAAGTACTGATTAAAGACAATTTTTAAATTGTAGCTGCTAGTTAACACAGCCATGTTTATGAAACGTAATTTATTAATGAAAATTAAAAAAAAAATAAAATCACTTATATTCTGAAGCATAAATGCTCGCTATGTTGAATTAATAGCTCTATTTATCGTATGTAAAATCATAATAAAATTCAGAATAAATCTGATATATTATTATCTGATATCTGAGAATATTATTTATCATTATGTAGTTAGCAGCACTGCGCATCAAAGTTTATTACATTCCCTTTCGAGCGCCGGAATATCCGGTTTTTATTTCTTCTCTCAACGCGATAAGATGGCTGACCAGGTATGTATTTTCTAAACTAAGAAACTTTTTATAAAATATTTAAGATTTAACGAACATTTAATTGAGAAAATTTAATAGAAATAAAATCTCTGTAACTTTATGTGTGATATTACATATATTTGCAAATGAAATGTAAAAATCTAAAATGTCGATCTTTGGATGTTAAGATTCGTAACACGTGGTTCTAGTATATTCCGATATTATTGTTATGTATAGCTGCTTTAAATAATAAAGTTTTATTTTTCTCATATTTTTAATAATTATGAGGCTCTGTAATAATTGCATCTATTTACCTTTACACATTAATATTAACTTGAAAATGCTCTTTTTCCATAACATAACCTAAGCGATATCAATCGAGTAGCACTAATACAATTTGTATGTATGTACCTATTTACCTTGGCTGAAATATGTTTCTTTGTTTTGCAGAATGTCAAGTCGTTTCAAAAGCAACCAACAATCTTTCTTAATCGAAAGAAAGGATTAAGTAAAAGGCGTAAGCCTATGAGGTACAGCCGTAATATAGGACTTGGGTTTAAAACTCCTCGTGAAGTAAGTATTTTAATATTATTTTAATAAATTTAAATGTACCTACATATATTCAATTTTTATAATATTGTAATATTATTGTAGGCCATTGAAGGTACATATATTGATAAGAAGTGTCCGTTTACTGGTAATGTTTCTATACGTGGTAGAATATTAACAGGAGTTGTTCAGAAGCTTAAAATGCAACGGACAATCGTTATTAGAAGAGATTATTTACATTATATACGAAAATACAATCGTTTTGAGAAACGACATCGTAATATGAGTGTTCACCTCAGTCCTTGTTTTAGGCAAGTTTACGTTTGATTAAATGGATCTATTGAATTAATTACTCGTGCATATTAATAATAGGATTAATAACTATCATATGATAATACATTTTCATAAGCAAGTTGAATCAAATTTTTAGATTACACACGCTTTTACTATTGTTGAAATTAATTGTGGTCTTTTAAATAATTGCGAAAGTACTTTCTCGATATGCTAACAATTTTATTTGAAATAATCCGTCCATTATTCTGGTTTAATAAATTTAAATTTAAAATAATTATTTACAGAGATGTTGAAATTGGAGATGTCGTTACAATTGGAGAGTGCAGACCTTTGAGCAAAACAGTACGATTCAATGTATTAAAAGTATCGAAGGGAACTGGAGCAAAAAAGAGCTTCAAAAAGTTCTAGGTACTTATTACTTTTATGAAAAAAATTTTTAAAATAATAAATCCCAATCATTTGATGATTTGACGACGGTCTTCTGAATACAAATTGAACGACAATTATCGTCCACTGAAATTACTTTACTAAATATTTCTATACTCCATAACGTTTTAAGGCAGTGTTGATATTTTATATAATTTTCGTAGGTTACACCACATAAAGCAAACTACCCTTACATCTGGAGAGAAGATTCATATAGAAATATTCATTATTACATAAATGTATGTAAAAATGGCTTACAAAATGAATCAATGATTAATGTAATAATTAATAGTTGCATTAATAAGCAAATGGAATAAAATGGACTTTCATACTGTATTAATTTATGATGAACCAATTTTCTATAATTTTGTTTTTATTTCTTATAAGCGTTTTAACAATAAAAGTATATTATATTTTTACTCGTCGTGAGTACAATTATATGTAAATTAGATAACGTCGTAAAGTTCGTTATAATTTTTTTATACAAATAAACGAGCTTAATTTAAAATTTTTATATAAAAATAAAATTCCTTTACTTTAATACTTCATTGAATATTCCAATCAATTAATATAATTGCATGTAAAGGCACAATTTATATTTTTAAATTATTGTATAGATAAAAGATACTATTAAAACATAAATTTTATATAGAATCTTAATTTATTACAAGCAAATAATGAATAGATTTTTTTGAAGACATTGAATTTTCAACTTCTAAATGGTGAAAAACACGTATTTATAATACAGATTATATGCATTCCTTCATATCTTACATTATATATATTATATATATATAATTAATTTTTTTCGCTAATCTAAATTCAATGACGTTATTTATAAAGTACATTAACGTGGTTTATTAAATAAAGCATAATCAATATATCGTAAAAAATTACAGAAGAATTATTAAATGATTTTACTTATGTATGTCAAGGCACATTTAAAAAATCTACAGCATTGTAATCCATAGTAAATTACAAAAAAAAAACATTTTTTTATATATTTTTTATAAAAAATAGATTCATTTTAAAACTTCTGCAACAATATATATATATATATATATATATATCAAAACATATATATTCCAAAAATAGATTTTTATGAGTTTTTAAATTTAATGTTAAATTTTAACTAAAAGTTCATTTCGTTTCATTCTAATTAATCGTTCGACTAAGGCTAATTGATCACAATGAACTATATTAATATTTCAGTAAAATACATATTTACATAATATTAATAATAGATCTGTGAGAAAATTTGAAAGTACAAGTATTTATAAAAATGATTTAACGAAATGTCAAATATTACAACATAATTATTAAATCTATTTACTAATTCTTGTTTAAGAGCTGTGATCTTTGAATTCTGTAATATACAGTACATAAATAATTGGCCCGGCAAAACCAAGAAAGAGAGAAAAACAAAGTAGCTGACACCATGACAATGCCCAATCAGCTCCTGAACATTTAAATATATTTACAAAATTATTACTAGAATTGACCTCGTGACTTTCTATTGAATTTATTAATTTCACAGCTTCTGTATCTTGTGTAAATTGAGAAGACTCATTATTATACTGCAACAATGGTTCTATCGTCGAATTTAAAATTATACTATTAATTTCTACCGATGACGAAGGTAATACAGGAATTGTTAATAAGCTGATCATCTGATTTTCTCTAGATATTGTATGATCAGCTTTAACAATAACTGGCGGAGTCAAGTCAACAATCTGATTAATCTCACTGGTCCTATCGATAGATTCGGTCAATAAAGAATACGGTTGTACCGGAACTTTTATAGATTGGTAAGCGTGTATTTCGTTGTCCTTGTATATACTATTAATTCTTTTTATATCTGATATCTATAATAACATTAATAAAATATTATATACGGAATCGCACTATACATTGAAAAAATTAACTGATTTTGTTATAGGTTGGATATATTTTACAAGTCCAAGAATAATAATTTAGTCGTAGTGAACTTTATGTGATATTATAAATTTTCCAAATCTTCGCCATGAAATATAACTTTCTTTTTTATATTTTGAAAATAATTTTATTTTTATATAACACGAAGTCATTAAATAAATTTTCAAATTAGGTTTCACTTTTAAAGACGCGACTATTGCAGGTGTTTTGTTTACAAAAAATTATAGTATCGCTTACTGTGCATTGATATCTAAGAGCTAAAGCCTGCAAAGTATCTTCTGATTGTATTTGCACATTTATCACTTGAATTTTACGAGGCAACGCTAATTTTCGACTTCTCTGTTTTAATGGAAAATGGTCTTCATCCTCACTTTGATCATCTTCCGAATAAAGAAATATATAATGAGGTGATCCTTCTTTCTGATTGCCCCGTTGGTACACAATTTGTCTAAACGTAGGATAAAATATTAAGCTACATATAATCTTAATTATTTAAATTGCCTTCAGCTCAAACAAGTATAAAATACAATTTGTAAGAAAAAAAAATTATAGAAACTTTAAATTGAAAAAGCAAACATAACCTAAATGTTCATTACCTTGTTTTTTGAGATTCATTTACTCCACTTATTGATTTTTTTCGCATTTTTTCAAAATTATCATAGATATATATATCATAAATATTATCAGCGATCTAACATTTTTTCGATACTATATTTTTAATTATCAAAGCAAGATCAATATGCTTTTCGATTGTCAATTGTAATTCTATCATAGAATAAAAAAAGAAATGTAAAAAACAAATATAAAGTTATATGAAAATTTACATTGCTTGGCTAAGAAACGATGCATTCCAAATAAACTTAAAGCATACGCAAATTATTATGTTGTCTAATTAAATGGAACTTTGCAACGTATTTAGTGAATTTACTCATGTAACAACAAATCTGTCATGTCCACACTCTCCCCACCTCATGTACTGCTTTCACAATAAAAATCAAGACATCATTTAATACAAAAATAATATTTAACAATATTAGATTACAGTATCGCAATATCAGTGTTGTAATTGATATTATGCAAATATCTACATAGCTCAATAATATTTGTGTAAGATAATAAAATTATTCATAACAGAACATTTCTAACATTCTATCTGAATGTCAAAATTGTTGTAAAAAATTTAATAATAAATTACGTTAAAAGACAGGAATATGGAACAACAGATTATATGTCGATATGTTAAATAACGTGTGAATTCTTTATATTATAGGCACTAGTAAAAATATTTATTAATTATGCAATAAAAATCATATGTCTAAAACGAAATTAAAAAAAAAAAAAAAAAAAAAAAAAAAAAAAAAAAACGATTTAATTAACATCTTGGTCTATAATAACTTTATAACGAACAAACAAATAAATATGCGTTTTCACTACTTTGAGTAAGAAAAAATGTGAATAAAATGAAAATTTACGAATCTCATAAATTAATGTGAACAACTAAGAATTCCAATATATCATTATAATGTAATTGTAACATAAGAAATTACCAAATAATATATATTACAAAAAGTGAGAAATTAAGAAAGATTATGTCATTAAATGGTTTTAAAATTGTAAACCAGAAATATAAAAATAATTGATTTTCGTGTCAGATTTAAAATTCTATTTAGTATTCTATTACTTGGAATATACGTGTGTTATACGCGTAAGCATCGATGAATATATTCCCAACTCTTTATAAACATATTTACAATGCAAATATGCATCTTATAATGCATCATTATACTTAATAAAATATCATAATAAATAATACCTTGATTCAGTGTTATTGAATTGTTATGTATATTAAGTAGACGAGTTTTTAAAAAAAAAAAAAAAAATCTCTCTCTACGAGATCAAATTAATTCATCAATTTGCATCACAATATTGAATTCTGACGGGATTGAAGACCGATTGTGACGCTGTCACGTGTGCCGGCAATTAACCTGAAATTTTTAAACTCAACAATTGAATAGTTTGAAGGATGAAAGACAACATAACCCTCAACCTCACAGTAAATTTTATAAAAGTTGAATTTTGTACCGCTGTTTTATTTATTGAATATAAAAAAAATTGAATCTTAAAAGAGTGAACGCAGCTATATAGTTTTACGGACATAGGAAACTCGATATTTGACTATGTTTTATCGAATGAAAGCATTAAATTATCGTAATTTTTCGGTAGGTAGTCAACAGTATCATAAATCTTATGAAAAAAAAGAAAAAGAAATGATAATTCTTGTATTGACTAAAATTGATTTATAACACTTATACAATAATTATTACCAAATTTTACATAACAAAGATGAATACAATGAAAGTGTTACAGTTATTGTCTAGAGTTTGGAATGGACCACAGAATGTTTTAACAGGCAAACAAGCAGAGGAAAAAATGATAAATATTTTAAAGGATAAATTTCCAAAAGCTGAAACCATTGAAGTTTCGGATGTATCAGGTAACAGTTATACTATTTTATACATTCATATATTGAGAGGAATTGAAAAGGGCTTAGTATTTTATTTAAATTTGTAGGTGGCTGTGGTGCAATGTTCGAAGTGAACGTTATTGCCCCCGAATTCAGAGGATTAAATACCGTAAAACAACATCGAATTATTAACGAAGTACGTTAACGTATTCTTAACATCATTAATGTCAAAAATGTGTACTATAAAAATTTTAATGTATATTTTAGGCACTTAAGGAAGAAATTAAAGATATGCATGGTATTCGGATACATACAGGAATACCGGACTCCTAGGTAGTGATAAAATTAAAAGATTTTTTTAACTAGAATATTTTCTATTGTATATATATATATATGAATAAATTTATTATATGTATATATAGATAAATCTATATATATATAACCACAAATACATATCGTTTTATTACAGTTTACCCTATAGATGATATTACATATCCATGATATTACACATTATTCACAATTTTTTCTCAACATTATAATAAACTTTTTACAAATTTCAAGCACATCGTTGATAATTAAAATTAAGAACCAAATAAGATATTTAAAAAATGTGACCAAATACGTAAATTTTGAAAATTAAAGTTCTCTATGTAGAAAAAAGATGTCACTACTTAACATCACAGGGTAAGTCTACGGCTTTAGGCGGCGATGATTTGTTTTTTAGCCGTTGGAGTTTAGCGGTAAACGTTGAAATACGAACTACACAAGACTGATTTTTGGTTATAATTATTTAAACATTTAATATTATGAATACTATTAGTGGGACATTAATTTATTCGAAAATTAAGGAACTTGTATCCAGCCTGCCTAACGCTATTACTCCAGAAGTGATCGATAAGCTTTACGAAGATGATTCAATGCAACCATTTTTAAAATGGTTTTACTTAAATATCAAGCCTGACAATGTTCTGTCAAATGAATGTATACAATTGTGAGTGTGACGTTGCGATATTTTACACTACTCATTTTAATGGGATATTTTATTTATTTATTTATTTGTAGGAAAAAACATATTAAAAAAAATGACACTTGGCTTCAAGGAGAGGAATTAGATTTGGCGCTTGCAAATGCCACAAAAGATTGCCCAGATTTATTAAAATTAATTAAGTCGGATTATTGGAATAAAAGCCAGTCTTTTACAGATCTTGGTGCTGAAAAGGAACTATATGATCCGGATGTTGAATACCTTCAATCAATTGAAGATAGTATAAAGAAACTTAAGTAAATATTTTTTTGTATTATGTGATTATCGCTTAATTATGTAGTATGAAAAATGTCTTATTATAGTTATTGTTATAGTTATTTTTTTATATTATTTTAAGAGAATGCGAAGAGCAGTTAGATAATGATCTTGATGAGGAAACCTATGCTTTGAAAAAAGAAGAAATCAAAGTAAAAATGGCTTATGACGATTGCATATCCGTTCTTGAAGATTTTGATTCTTGTCATCGTCAGTTCTTTAACGACGTTGAACTTTTAACTAACACTTATACCGATGCGGCGAGGAAGGTAAAACAAAATTGAAATTTTATAATGAAAATGTCAAAGTCTACGATATTTTATGCTCGGACCAAGACTTATTTGTTTAATTTAATCAGAAAGGAGAGCCTTGTATATGGACACAGATGCCTATTGACAATTATATTAAGCAATTGGAAAGATACAGCGATTATTTAAATTCATACGCGAAAAGGCAATTTTCAATGTATCAAAAGGACAGAGACGAACTTAATACGGATCGTAGCAGTTTTATAAATGAAAATACTGAAAATGAAAAATTAAATGAATTAATATGCTGTCAAAATAAGTAAGTGTATCCGTAAAATCTCGATATATCAATCTTTTGTTAAATAAATCATTTATATTATAATTCATTAACTGATAATACTTTTACGATAATTGATAAAAGTTGCTGAAACTAACATTTTCTATTTTATAATTACATTTTGACAATACAGATAATATTAAGTTATTATCTTATAAAATAATTAAAATTACTGTATTGTAAATGTAAAATATTTTTCTTTACCATTTAGAATTACAGTTATTTTCATATATATATATATATATATATATATATATAAATTATAAATTCGTGCTTTTACTATTTCAGTTTATTTACATCTAAAATACATGAAATTATTGCTAAAGTGGAGGACGACGCTAGCAAAAGTTTATTGAATTACGTTATAGAAATTTACAACGATGGCAATTTGAAGGCTCCTAGTACACCGGTTTTGGCAAGGTAAATTATTTGTTTAATATAGTAAATTGAATTTTCTTGCAAAATATGTATTTGATAATTGAAAACTTATTTATCTAGAATAGAGATAGCAGAGATATCGAAAAGTCGCGATATATTAGAAGAAGATGTTAATATTTTGCAAGAACGTCAACTGGTTGATTTGGTACAACAGTTTGCAAAAGCAAAGGTGAATAAAGTTTTAGAGGAGGAAGCGAAAGCTAGACTAAAAAGAAGGACAAGCAGGCTTGTAAAATTAGAAAAGCTTTGTACACTCGCTAAGGAACATGGATATGCATTTTCGACTATCTTTTGCATGCTTTTGGAATTGCAAATTCATCGAATAAATGAGATCATACAGTTTGTGATGGATGCGCGTCATTATCTCTCTATGGAATATTCATTATCGTCTGTACGGAATGTTAGTATAAACACAAACAATTTATACAAATGAGCGCTTTGGCATAATAATGTCAATAGATGTAATTAGCCGAATTGTTTGATACGGCTATTACTCATAAAATTCAATTAACATAATGTATCTACAACTTTCAGAGTAGCATGCACAAATTGCAAAATGAATACGAATCTAATTTAGCATCCTATAAAGATCAGAATATTTTTTGTCAGAAATTTGTAGAAATGATAGCGGATGATAATTTAAAAGACAATATGCTGTCGTATCTGCATTATTACAACGAGTTAAGAAACGATAATAATTATAAATTAAAATCCTTGCTAGATGATAAAATATTGGAAATGATTGAAAGTTCAAAATTATTGTAAGTAATCATGCAATCCGTTTGCACATTAAAGTAATATAATTATATTAATATAATATAACAGTGTAACTGATAATCAAAGATATTTATAATATCTAGAGAAATAAAGATAACAGATCTGATCGAAGAAGAAATAAACGACTGTCCGACACTTAGTTTTAGAGCAATACCTTGTAATATACAGAACAAAATATACATTATTATGAAACAAGTGGAAGAATTGGAGACGAATGTCGAATCGATGAGAAATAAATTGAAATCTATGATAGTTAGTATTAAAATTAATTATTTAATATATATATATATAAAACAAGCTGCATTGACAATTTCATAGAAATTCACAATTTTCATCCCATTTGCTTATCTAAATTTAATACTCTATTTAATATTTATAGAAAGAATCGAGTGTACCAAATTTTGAACGAGAAAAATTATTAATTTGGCAGAAATTCTTAGCTGAACCAGAATCTTTACAAGAGAGATGCAAGAAATTAGAAGAAATGGGAGATCGCTCTAATTTTCAATAGTAAAACTGATTGGTTATTAAAGATCTTTATTGTACAAAGAAATAAATAGAATAACAATATTTTTATATTCAAGGTTATTGTTTTTCATTTAAAATGTATAATGAAATTGACTGCTGTAGTCTGATATTATTACGAGATAATAAAATAATACGGAATAAATAACAATGTTTGTTTTAGTTATAAAACCTATTTAAATTCCAAAAAATATGAATAATATCGTCGTAACGAAGTAATTAAAATTTTAATGATATTGCATTGTACTATTGGATGCAAATAATATTGTCGAGTGAATTTTAATTAAAAAAAATTGTAATACAAATATGTAAAGTAATCAACGTTCTATAGGCAATTGCTACATTTATAGACGTAAGTAACTAAAAAATTTCGTCGACACATAAATGTCGAAGGATGAAATTGACGGAGATTTAAACATACATACATATATATATATATATATATATATATATATATATTTCTGTCTCTTTTCGCTATCTTTTTTTTTTTAACCAATGAAACGACAAATATACATCTATCTTTCGTGCAGAGTTCAATTAAAAAAATAAAAAAAAGTATTATTCGTTTCGACGTTATAAACACAATTACGAATTACATAAATAGTTTTACGGAAATCATGTCAGAGGCTTAACAACAATAACATCTGAAGCGGAATCGGAATTAATTAGCAATTGAACGTAATGAGTAAAGAGGTTGAGAAAACGAAACTGCCTTGTATGGAAAATGACTTTTCGATAATTGGATTAAACGCATTGGTAGGTTTCGCTTGGCTCATGTACTACGCGCACGTTACGCTAGTAAAAATAATGCAATTAGGATGCGTAAACGCATTCTCGAGTACGATCCCGCAAAGCCTTCTTTACATAAGATTTAGAAAAAGCAAGTAGCCTCCGTCGGTGCGCCGTGTGTAACCTTGATACCCCGTCACAAATATTCCTTGGTTATACCTGGGTTTCGGTCACCTTCCCCCGCCCCTCGCATTCAGCAAACCAATCGTCGCTTAGTTTCACATAAGAAAATCCCAGGATTCCGTAACCATTCACACAAGCCTCCCTCCTCCCCCCCCCCAACAACCGGTAATAAGACGCGCGGGCAGCCTGAGCGAGCTCGTGTGCGTGCGTACGTGAGCTCTACTCCGTGTATTATTATTATTTTTTGACACTCGGTCCAACGTATTAGTCTAACGATTCGGTTAACGATGACAATAGAAGCGATTACGCAAATTACATAAGCACCACTGCCAACGACGCGGATATTTAAAGAGTTTGAAACGGGGACGGGAATTCGAGGTATATATTATCGATTTGCCAAGGGTTCGAGTTAACGGTTTGTTTACACATAAAGCTATCGCGCGAGAGAGGGAGAGCAGAAATCGCAGAGGACCGCGCGCGCATGCGCCAGCCTACCAAAACAATAACAGAAAGACGGCGGCGGCAAGAGACGGAGTGCAAGAGAAAGCGAGAAGGAAGTAGGAATGTAAGAAGGTTCACGACTTCGTGGCCTGCGCCAGTGTCTCGCTTGGTCTCGCTCTCGCTACAACAACTACAACGAGGTATAAGATTATTCGGTCGTTCCACGTCTTCGCCTATTTATTTCCCTCGGGCCAGTCACCAACATTCCCAGACTCTTTGGAGGTCCGCGAGGAAAAATCGCAGTGTCGAATATCGAGCCTAGAGAGAGAGAGAGAGAGAGAGAGAGAGAGAGCGAGTGAGCCGAGTGTGCCGTGGTTGTGTATCACAGGCGCGCGCTAGCACCTTCCAAATATTTACAAAGAGTCGCTGCCTCGTGGCTGCCCCGTACGGCCGAGTACACGCTGTGACGATTCGCGGTGCATTGTTTTCCACTCATAAATTGATAAACGAACGCGCTTTATTTACCGTCGTGCCGTCGTCGCGGCGATTCATGTATATTCTATTGACGCTAGGCATTGTGCAACGGCGATCACGTCACGCGCCGCGGAGGTAACGAAGAGGAGAAGGAGGCGGTGGAAGAGGAGGAAGAAGAGAAGGCGACGGCGGGAGGAGAGTCGATAGCAGCCGCGTAAACAAACGCGAGGCAGCCGTGCGCCAGTCATCATCATAGTCAGTGTAGTGCAGTGTTGTGCCGGAGGGAATTGGGACGAGAGGGACTCTGCGCGCATATATGTAAATACGCGTTGTCGCCTGCTTAATTGGTCGCAGCAGCGAGCCAAGGAGCCCGCGAATAACGAATAAAGGTACTCTCGGCGCCTCCTCGACTTACTACCACCACCCACCCTCCCCCCGATCAACGCCAACGCTCATTCGGACGGACAACGCATAACGGTACTAGCACTCGCGCACACCTGAGAAAACGAGAGAACGAGAGAGCGAGAGGGAGAGAAGGAGGAGTGCGCGCGCGCGCGCGCGCTCAACTCGATACACAGAGAAAGAAATAGATAGAGAGAGAGAGAGAGAGAGAGAGAGAGAGAGAGAGTAAGAGTAAAAGTGAGAGAGCGAGTGATTGAGAGACGGGAGGCAAATAAATACACGGTCACTCATACGTACCACCGATTGGTGGCGGCGGCGGGAGGAGGGAGAGACGCGCGCGCCCGCAGAATCAAAACAAAACAAAGGCTCGCATCCGCGTTTCTCCTTGCGAAAAAAGAAACGACGAGTCGACGACGACGGCGAAGCGCGTGCGGTGAGTCACGCGCGCGAGCTCTCGTGTATGCTGGCGTAGTAAATAATCGGCGCTCCGAGAGGAAATAATTGCCCAAGGAGGCACGCGTCCGGCCCTCGTGGACTCGACGTTAACGTTGATTGTGACGTTGATGTTGGCGAGGACGACTGGGAAGTTCGTGGAACGCTCGTGGAGAAAGACAAGCCGTCGAGCGATAAAAGGCCGTCGTCGCCTAGCAGTAACCTACTCTCCGTCGCACTACGCGATAATCGACGCAGACAGATGCCCAGTGCCGAGGAGACGACGTACCTGTTCGAGGTGATGCCGGACGCGGGCATTAGCCAGGACAGCTTTGCGGCGCGCGACGTCGACGTCCTCGTCTCGCGCATAAAGCAGAACCTCCGACTGTCGAGCCTCAAGTCCCGCTCGAGTCTGGCGGCCCATACGATGCGGGCCTCGCCGTACAGATTGCAACAGAGGGACGCCCAACATCATCACCAGGAGTCGCGCGGGACGGATAAGAGGACCTCAGTGACGACGATGACGACGACGACGACGACGACGACGACGACGACAACAACGACGGCGGCCTTCAACAGGCGTTGCGTCAAGGCCGCGCTCATGCGCAGGCAACTCGACGACTCCTACGAGTGCTTCCAGGCGCTATTGAGGAAGGGTGCCCTCATCAAGGAGGCGGTCAAGAGGTTACGAACGAATCCCGAGGAAGATTATGCGAACAATGATGGGATGCCTGTCCGAGGGAAACGGCAGGATGAGAACGATGACGAGGAGGAGGACCATGACGTCGACGACGACGACGAGGACGACGACGATGACGACGACGTCGACGACGACGACGACGACGACGACAACGACAACAACCACAACCACCACCACCACCACCACCACCGTATCAACGAGATGGACGAGGAAGTTGATAGAAAGAGACGGGCCACGAGTACGACGCTGGACTCGATGGACGAGGATGAAGACGAGGAGGAAGATTAATGAATCTGGGCCGCCGCCCCCCCCTCCTCATCCTCCCCTGTACGAGGCGATAATTAACCGATGGCCTGGACTGGCGGCGTATCTCCTCATTTACCGAGTCGCGGAACCTTGGCGAGGGGCGCCGAGGGGAAGTATTAGTGGTAGGTGCCCGCATGTTAAAACCACGAGGCGCGAGCGCCGTAAGGGAGATCGAGGGGCACAATTAAGAGGCGCTATCTCCCTCGCCTTAAATGGCGCTGTGCTCCTTTGCTCCTTAAATGTACGCATGCGAGCGATGATCGCTCGCGCGCATACACGCACGTGGAGCGCACACAAACACTCACACGGAGCAGGCAGACAGGCAGACAGGCAGACGGACGGACGGACGGACGCAAACAAACACACATATCCTATTATACATCTCGGGCTCTCCACCCGCTTGCCGTCGGCGTATTTACTTCGTGTCGTTGTGTGACGCGCGGCCTCCCGCATGCTTGTGCATTGTATATCAATGACGCCGTAGCGCGTACGAGGAGGCGCCACCACACCACACCACCACACTACTCCACACCGATACTACGCGCCCCGCTTCTCCCATCTTCATGCGCGTACGCGCACGCGCATGTGCATGTTTATGTTTATGTTTATGTTTAATTCGTACATCGTTGAATGCACGCAGCTGTAAATGATTGTCGTACAAAGGATTATGTTTGGAGAGCTGTGCATTAGTCGTGTTGACTTGAAACTATGCCAAACGCGACATTTTTTTCAAGACAGCGGTCTCCTTAATATCGCTATTCTTTAGCTTTGCCGATATCGGTCGTGAGTGGTAGGTAGTGTTGGTAATCGTAGTGGTAGTGGTGGTGGTGGTGATAGCGATGGTAGTGGTGGGTAGTGGTGCTGCTGGTGGCGATGGTGGCGACGGTCTATTCCACGTGCGCGAACGCCATCAATTGTGTGAGCCTAGCGTACCTGTGACGGTTTCAGGTCACTATAGATGTGATCGTCGGACCGATCCTCCGGTGCCCAAAGTTCTTGCGTCGTGCGTTCGTGCGTGCGCCCGCCCAAGACGGACGAACTCAGAGTTCATGCAGACTATAGTATTGCCGTGCAATAATACGCTGTTGTACGTAGCGACGACCTCGACTGGACGTATAGCGCCGACCGCGAGCCTACTCCGTATCGTTGCGTATATTTTGAGATCGAAGAGGCCTCGCGCATGTGTTAGTCGGTGTGCGCGCCCGAGCGCTGCGACTGCGTGCCGAGACACCGGGACGGGACGGCCGGGAATGAGAATGAAGGCGTATTTGTGTTTACGTTGCGCGTATACACAACGATGACTGGCTTTTTTCCTTCTACATTCATTTAGAGCTGGATTCCTAAATAGAATGAAGTAATTTAAGCTTCGGTTTTTTTTTCCTTTCATACGTGCCCGCGCATGCACACAACACACACTACACATGCTACAGACACACATTTCACTCGTCCTACCACCCACACGCGCACGCGTATGCATACACATATGTATGTATATATGCATGCATATGCGCACGTATGTACATGGGTATGTATATTCTGCAAGTGTGAGTATTTAAATTTTGCGAATCCGCATGCTGCTAATAAAGCGGTATCAGTAAGGATATTTCGGCGAAGGCACCGCTATACTCGTAATATGCGCTTTTTAGTCGTAATCACAGAGAAGATCGGAAGTTGTAAACGACATGGGTGCATACGTGTGTGTGCGTGTGCGTGCGTGCGTGCGTGCGCCCGTATGTGAATGCGTGAGTGCGCGAGTGCGCGCATTTGCGTATGCGCGCTATTTGTATACACGTATGTATCGCTAAAGGCTGTTCTTTCATATTTTTTTTTTCTTCCTCTCCCCTTTTTCCCTTCATCAATGTCTATCTAATAAGTAGTTAAACAAATTTTATTTCTAAATCGATGTAATTAAATTAACGCTAGCAGAAGGAGATGCATTGCGTATCGTTGTTTTCTTTTACGCGCGTAGATAAGCGATCGAGCGACCGATAATGATGACGAGGTGAAATATCACGAACAATCATAATCCTTATTGTAGACGCGATAAAATTTGAACCTAAAATTGACTGTTATGTTGACGAAAACAACCGAAAGAAATGCTTTACGATTTTTATTGCGATAAACAATTTTAATGGCTACTTATTAGACAGAGGGTGCGAATTTTCTTAACTAAAAGTGTTGATGTATATATGTATATACGGAACGAGCATATGTAGATGTTCGACGGAGTATGTAATATTTTAAAGCTAAACTCTTTGGCAAATTATTGTTCCTTGGCAACAATGGTAAAGCATTTGGTGCGCGCGTTCACAGCTAACGTGAAAAACGAAATTCGCATCGTTATTTAGATTGCGTGAAAGTCTGCCTACTTGGTACAGTGTATTTTTGAACTTCCGTTAGGAAGATCGAATAGCTGTAATAGAAAAATGGAAGCCTCCTTGGTCCAAAGGACCACCGTATACGTAGATGGTTCACGTACAGCCTCGATCGAATCATAATACATTTGCTCATTGTCGACCTCGCCATTAAATTGATAGTCGAAGGTCTTGCAAGCTTTTCTCGAGAGAAAGTAATTGATATACACACATACACACGCGCGCGCGCGCCTTTTCCTAGATTCAGTAGTCTGCTCATCATGATATCTCTTGGTATCGTTCCTTGCATAATCTACATCAGCCCCTTGATTTTCAATGTTTGCAACTTCATACTCATATTCTAATTAAAGCGAGTATAACAACTTGGACGATAAACTTGTCGATGTTTATCGGTATACATCCACCACTTCATCCATCAAGCATTCTTATTTTACGGATCGTTCGACAAAGCGCACATTACGTACTTAATCGTTTAATTGATATAATCGGGCAAATGGTGTACCACCACGCACACCTACACTTCCAATACAAAGGATCTACAGCTTCCAATACCAAAGCTCGTCGTGCATGCCAATATAGGGAAATATCGAGTTAGCCTTGTGCATTAAATTTCTCGGTTCTTGTCCTCTCACTTATTTCATTATTTTTTTTTTTTTTTTTTTTTTTATTAATTGGTTGTTATTGTTTTTGTTTTCGCCTCGGAAATTCCTTAAGGCTCGTGCCTCGGATAATAGAGCTTGTAAAGGATGTATAGGATTCTTCCGTGGCCGAGCTCCGAGGAATAGCGGATTTCTATTTCGCCGCTGCTAGTTGCCATTCTCCATAGTTTCCAATCTCGAAGTCGAGGGATTCCGCCGGTATCGTCACGCGATATCGTTACCGCTGCTTCGACTATGAGCGAAAACATTCATCTCGAGCATCCGCTTATGTAAGCGCCAACGCAATATTTACGCTTCGTGTGCGAGTTATGATTTAAGCATCAATTATTCCAAAACTTCCAGTCGGCGATATCGTCGCCGATGGCTTATTGTTCACGCACGGCAAATCACGAGATTTTCCAGCATCGCTGATCGATATTAATATGAATGTTGTCGCGAGCTAGTGATTAAGTATTCGGCAACAGATTATTTTCAGGGTCATCTAATGGTGGTATCTAATGCTTCGCCATCGTCGGTTGCATTTCGTTTTCAATCAATCAACGTCTCGACGGCTGATTAACTCTCGCGCGTAATATCGAACGATCGAATCGAACGATCGAATCGCGATCGATATATCGATTGAAGCTTGCAATTCATGGTATGTACAAATACGCTATTTTTGTGTCGGCACTATTCCTATAAATAGTGCAGAGGAATAGAGGAGGACATATTGTTATAAATAATCTATAGTCATCTTGTGGATAATCGGTTGACCTCAAACTATCCACGCGTACCCTTAGTCGAATTAAAGTTTCCATCTATCAGTTAATAAACCGAGCGTGAATATTATTCAAAAATCCGTTGGCAAATATTTTTATATTTACTTATATGCGCAAATGATTAGAATCCATTGTTTTATCGTAGTTAATTGCAGTTTGTAATTTACTTTTAATATATATATATATATATATATATATATATATATATATATATATATATATATTAAAAGTAAATTACAAACTGCAATTAACTACGATAAAACAATGGATTCTAATCATTTGCGCATATAAAGGAATAATGATCCTTATTCTAGCAATGATGCAATACGAGATTATTAGTATGAGATTGTTTGGCTATATCATTATGATCGTAAAAAAGGTGACACGAGGCAAATGATCGTGCAGCATCAGCAGCGGCAGTTGTAGTATTACCAATGTGAGAAGAAAATTAAAATTGTATTTTCTTATATCCTGCTTGTCGTCTCAGTTATACCGATCAAAAGACGACACTGACTTATCCTGGTTAGTGCTCGAGCTCGTTAATGCTCATCACTTGCAAATCGGAGGATTTATTTTAATTAGAAATTAACGAGCGCATTTTTATCGGATAACTTGTGGCTCGTTCTGGGCGAACGAGGCAGCCAAACTATCGGATACTCTTGAGCGACCTTCACGCGACTCGCTGGAGCTTGTGAGTTTTTCGTCTCTACTTTCGTCCTCGTCCCTTCCCAATAATTTATACATATTCGCCGCTCAAAAGGCTAATTTACCTTTGAGAATAGCTGGGCCGCCGTGTATCGGAGCCACGCCACTTTGTACTAACAAAGCTACCGTTACTTATGCACTGACCACATGTTATCGCGAGTCGTGCTTGTTGGCGAAACTGTTTGCCATACGCGTATGGGGATCTGGTCTAATTATATTCCATTGTCATAGCGTTAAATGGAATTTTTTCGAGCTTATTTCGAGCGTCAGGCCTGCCGCCTCACCTCTGACTTGGGCGTAAAAGC